CCCCAAAACCCCAAAACCCCAAAACCCCAAGCTGCAAGATATGCAATTTATCTAAATTTGCGGAATTAAATACAATAACAAAATAATTTATAAATCATGTAAAGCAGCGTCTAAGGAGCGTAAAACTTTGATACCACTTCCAAGAACTCAAATACTTAGTCTAGCAAGAATGCTAATTATTTGCAGTAGCTAAGTCAGCCTATTAATCTTAACAACTCAAATACTTTGAAAAAGAACCAAACTTATCAATAGAGCCCTGTGAAATAAGCTGGGAAATAAGTTAATGGTAAAAGCGCTCAAAGTAGCAATCAAAGCAATGATCTTTAGACTGTCATGAGGCAGATCAAAGAATATGAATTCGAAATAATCAACTATAAGGCTACCACAAAGTCTTATGAAAATGCAGATCTCATTATTGAGAACTTAAAGAGAGATATTGAGCAGCTTAACAAAAGGATAATAATATCCGAGTAGGCAAGAGTTGATCTACAAGAGTAACTGGCTTAATCAGGTAAATCTGAAAATCTTAGCAATGAAAGAGAGGTCAAGTACAACAGTTTACTCATACAAGAGAACTAAGAGCTGAGAAATATTATCAATGCTAAGGATGTCTAGTAAGTCAACTATTTTTAACAGTCTCATTTGATAGATTGAGAGAGAAAGATCAAGAAATAGATTACTTAAGAAGACTTTTAAGTGAGAATGAACTTGAGAAGCAAGAAATGAAGGTAGTAGTTGAGGAAACATTGGCAAAGTACACGATGGAGGAAAGCTCAGTCTTTGAAAGTGAGACAAAAAGAACTCTTCTCTAAATAGAATACGAGAGAGTAAGTTTAACAATAAGATATGCTTATTAACTGAATTACTTTAGAGTTTAGATGAATATAATGGGAAACTAAGAGAACAATATGACATAATTGATAGTCTCAGAAAAGAAATGGATAAACTTTATTAGAAGGCAAAAGATCTAGAAAATGAGAATAAGCAAAAGGATTTAAAATACAATCTGCTTGAAAGTGATCTGAAAAAAGAACAGGATAAAACTAAGAAAATGAATGAACTAGAAAAGATACTTGCAGACATTAAATCATAGAGAGATATGCTATTAAAGTAAATAGAGCAGCTCAAAAAAGAGAAAGATGCCATTAATAAGAAATTTGAAGAAATGAGAGAGGAATTGGAGAGATTAACTATCAAAATTAGAGAAGAGTATTTGAGATATAAAGAGACTCTAGAAGATCTTAACAGAGCTTTGGCTGAGAAAGATGAGTAACTTGCGAAATAAGATAATCTCATTAAGAATCTGACTTAGAAATAATTAGATTAAGATAAACAGATGTTGAAACTCTAAAGATCTTAGGATGCTTATGATGACCTTAAAAAGTAGAATCAAGATCTCCAAGATCAAATTAATCAACTTAAAAACTACAAGGAGGATCTTGAATAGAATATGCTTATGTCTAACAAGCTCTTAGAAGATAAGACGTATGGCTAGACAGATCTTCTTTAGAGGATAAGAGAACTCATGAATGAGTTATAAGCAACAAAGGCAGAAAACGATTCAATGAAAAAGTAATTGGCAAGTCTGAGAGCAAGTTAAGAGATTTACATTCCAGACAAGCAGGATGCTACAGATGTGGAGCTAGCTAAATACATCAATGACTATCCTGACAGGAACAAGCTTAGAATTATGTTTATGAAGGAAAGCGAGGGAGTTTATCAGTTCGGATCAAGAAGAGTTTATGTCAAAGTTGAAAGAGATAAGATCTAAGGTATCCTAAATTTATTTGTTTGTTAATATTTTTAGTTAGAGTAGGAGGTGGTTTCTTGAGCATTGAGGAGTTCATAGATATTTACACTCCTATGGAACTTGACAGAGTTGATAGAAATGATCCATTAAAGAGATTCAGTGAGAAGGTGGCAGTTCAAAAGACTTTAGCACTTAATTCCCCTACAAGATCTCCAGAGAGAACTAAAAGTCAGGGGAGACAATTATAAACTCAATTCGGAAATGGATAAGTAAACATTAGTAATTAAAATAATGGAGGAAGACCAAGACTTATTTCTCCAAAGTGAGATTAGAAGATTTCAGCTTTAAAATTTACACGAAAAGTAAATTCATAATTTCATAATTATTTATCTTCTTAACATTAATCATGATTGAGTTTGAGGGGGATTATAATTTAAATTTGATTGAAAAATGAGTGATGATGATGAAAGTTTGGAAATAGAAAATAGAGGGTCAAAATTAATAAGGAAAACTCCCTCTAAAAGAAATAGTTTTACTCTAAATCCTTACAAGGATGATAATTCAATCATATTTTGCGAGCCAGAATAAAACTCCAAATTGAAAGAATCTAACATTATTAATGAGACTGTAATGACACAAAGCAATTTTTTAATTGACAATAATCATTACCAGACTGAAACATAAATATAAACCCAAAGATTTGTTAATCATGACCCAATTATGAGAAGTCATAATAGACAGGTTAAGACAATTGCATCATCTCTTACTTAAAAGGAATTAAATCAAAAAGAGCAATATCATAAAAATCTAGATTTAAGAATAAGAGGAATGAAAGAGGATAATCATTCGAAGACAGTTTTAGAAGAACATCCAAATTATCAATAACTTAATATACAATCTAATGAAAATAGCAGCATATTAAATCTAGAAGAGTAGATTAAGCTAGTATCCAAAAGAAACAAAGAAGTTATGCATATTTAGGAAAATCAATATGAGAGACAGTGACAATACAGCTAAGTAATTGATTCTAAAATAAATAAGTTCAACAAATAGAATAATTTCGACTTGTAAAATAGTTTTGAAGCTTTTAGTAAGAAAAAGCTTATTTATAAATAAGGGTATACAAGTAATGCAAGCAGATTAGTTGACGTATTCAATCCCAAGAATGATGTGTTTGAAATTCCATAGGATAATAACGTACTACCAAATGTATTTGATTTATCTAATGGATAGGAAACTGCATCAAACAATATGCTTACTGGTTCAAGTGAGCCGGAAAAGACCTAAGTTTATTATTAATAAGCAAGATAAAGAGATGATGTCTAAGCTAGAGCTGTAAAGGCTAATAAGATTGATGAATTAGCTGATGGGCCATTAAATCAAAACACTAAAATTGATTACAGTTATGATGTCACTAGGTTGAAGTCTAGCCTAGTAAGAGTTAAATCTGGAAAAAGGACCAAAGCCCTTAGATAATCATTACAATATGTGTACTTAGGAATGAATGTAATTTAGCTTGGACTGTACATTTGCTATTATATGCACTATAAGTTCAGCTCTCTTAACATCTAGTATGCTTACTTAGGCATTCTCCTACTTAGATTTTTCTTTCTGATGATTCATAGTATAACATCTGTTCTAAAACTGAAGTCAACTTACTCCAATTATTTATAGAAAATAAAAATTGCATAACAAAACTAAAGTGATACAAATAATTAGAACTTTACAGAGGGAATGCAATCTCCTGATAATTTGTATGATGAAAAGAAAAATGAAAATCTTAAATTTTCACAGAAAACATAACAATAATATTAGTAGTAAGAGGAGTTATTAGTATTTCTAAGTGATTAACTTGCATATAAGCAAAGAATATAAATGTATCTGTTTCTGTTCCCAATCTTATAAATAAGTGGGACTATCGGGGTAATAAAATAAAAAGACTTTCCTTATCAAGTATGGGTGAATAATCATCTTAAAATATGGTTGTTTTCAGTTCCTCTGCTACTTATTCAACTAATCAACAATTTAAGTCTTGAAATCTGGAGTCATTTTGGAATAAGCTCAGGGTCAATATTGCTATTTACTTTAATACTAGATCTTATTGAGTTAATAAGATTTAGAAACTACTATAAGGAGAAGGTAAAATATCAGTAACTAGTGTAATTAATAAGACTTGAGAATAGTAATGATTCGATTAATCTCAGAGGACATCCTGATGATGAAATTTAGCTATTTTCATGGCATCCCATTAACTTTACAAAATAGTCAATGACCCGTTACATCTATAAGTATACATCAATAGGATTAATAATCATAGCTGGCGTGATTTTAATATCATTTTATGTCATCAAAGATCTTGAATGTCCATTTGGATATTATACCTTTAGAGACACAATCTGCCTAAAATGCGAGGATTCAAGTTGTAAAATTTGTGATCATAGTGGGAAATGTACTTAATGCTATGATAATTACTTTAAAGATTCTTATTCTAAATGCGCCCTTTGTTCATCATCAATTCAAGGCTGTAATACATGTTAAAGTGCAAATAAATGCACTATCTGCTAAAATAACTTTTTGCTGAACAAATCGTTTTATAATTGTACCTCATGTCCAGACACAAATTCTGGATGCTTAAAATCATAAAATAATTTGATAACAGAATGTCTACCTGGATATTCTTTTAATAATCAAACTAAATCATGTCTAAGGTGTAGTAGTATCACTAATGGCTGTAGTACGTGCACATCAAGTGGAACATGTTTGTCATGTGATTAAAAGAAATTTAAATAAAATCTAAACACTAAAGGTCTTTGCGATTGTAATTAAGATTTAGGTTGGATCACAGATTCAAAGCAGTAGGGTTTATGCAAATGCACTAGTGCAATTATTTTAAAAGATGAAACTTGCTTCCAGTGTAATAGGACGATAGAATAGTGTAGTTCATGCATCAATACAAACTATTTCTTTACTGGTTCAGTTTTACTTGTTGATGCCATTAATTAATCTTTCTACACAGGATGTGATATGTGCTAGATAGGGTACTATTAATAAGTAGAATATGGATAGTGCATGAGTTGCAATTCCATTTCTGCTGGCTGTACAAAATGCTCATCTCAAGTTTGTTAGAGTTGCTCAAGTGGCTATAGACTTCTATCTGGAAAATGTGTAAAATCTCTTTGATATTAATTTAACCTTAATTTCATAATTAAAAATATCATATCAAACAGGAAACTAAATTTTTGTCAATCAAGATCTACCTTTTGAAAAGGATTTCTTAGAAGTAGTGCAATTATGTAGAGATGCGCTATAAACATTCCAAATGGAACAATAGGATTTCCCCAAATTTTATAAAATTTTCTATCAAATCTTGACATTTTAAGTTAGTTCTTTTCTCCGAATTTCATATTGTAGAGGAACTAGGCTAGATTTGAATTCAATCTGAAATTCACTGCTTATGGATTTTTAAGCATATACTTCAGACTTTAACTTGATTGCTCTTGTAAATTTTATGCCTTTGTTTCATTTACTTGTTAATTTTCCATTTTATCGATTTTAATAGCCATTAATTTTAATATTTTCTTTAAAATATTTCTTAATTCAGGGGTTTTGGGGTTTTGGGGTTTTGGGG